ATATATATATATATATATATATATATATATATATATATATATATTATAATAATAAATTGTGTTTATTCTTTTAATTTCTTGTCTAATAATATAGTAATTTGGAAAATTCGTGCAGTGATAAAATGTGTGGTTGGTTAATTATATAATAAATAAGTGAAATTGGATATGTTCATCTCATGTGAAATTTTTTTGGAAGACAATGCAACAGTTGAAACTGGCGAATTGTTGGACTTAAAATAGACAAGAATTAATTACTGAGCTTATGAAATTCACATGTGTTGATTATATGTAATATTATAAATGCTCTCTACGTACAAGCCAGCAGTATACATGCATGTGTGAAGTATTGAATGCCCACTGTACAACACAAATCTTCAGTACGTCCATTAATTAATTAATTAATTAATTAATTTAGGGGTTTGTTAATTACTAATATTTTATCAAATTATCAATTTGATTATTGGAATATTTTAATTTCTACATTTTTTTAATTTTTTTTTTCTTTATAGATGGTCAGCTATAGCAAGTCATTTGCCAAAGAGGACCGACAATGAAATCAAGAATTACTGGAACACACATTTAAAGAAGAGGTTGACTAAAATGGGTATTGACCCAACGACCCATAAACCCATGAGCCATGCCCTAATCTCCCAGCCGAAAGACCTTAGCCACATGGCTCAATGGGAGACGGCTCGGCTCGAAGCCGAATCCAGGATCGTCCGCGAGTCCAAGCTGGCACTCTCTAACCCTAACCCTAACCCTAATTATTATAATTACCATTATCATTATTACAATAAAACCGCAACCGCCGCAGCCGCTCCTCCACCCCCACCGCCACCGCCACCGCCACGGCCACCGTGTTTGGACATACTAAAAGTATGGCAAGGGATGACGTGGACAAATCCGAGAAAAGACCATACCATGGTTAATAATAATAATAATAATAACAGGGGTTTCACCGCAGATCACGGCATGCTAATGGCTAATTATACGCCGGCGCCGCCGCTGAGTGACGGACTAACAATCCACGAAAGCGCGTTTTTGAACGACGGTCGAGAAACAAGTCATGAAGATGATCAACAGATAAAGGAAGTTATCTTCTTCGAGGATAACAAGGTTACCGACTACTGGAGTAATATTCTAAACGTCGTCAATTCGTCGATCGATTTGCACCACTGTTTCTAGCTAGGGCAAGATTCATGGAATTGGGTCCCTTTTAATTTGAATTTGTTAGCATGCATTAATAATTATTCCTTAATTACTTACTGCTTTTATCTATATATATATATATATATATATATATATATATATATATATATATATATATATATATATATATATATATATATATATATACATATTAGTGTGTGTACGTTCATTACATTAATTGTCTGCCATGAATAAAGTTTTACTACGTACTGTACGTGCAATAAGCTGTACCGATCGAACATGGCGACGATTAATTAATGGAATAAATAAATAATGCATTAATCTTGATGTAATTGCGTTCTAAATTATTATGACATAAATAACAAAGTTTGATTAGGTTTTGTATTGAGTTATAATTAATTAATTAATTAATCAATCTTCAGTAGTAGTAGTACGTAGTATTGATTAATATATATAATAAATGTAATATGTATACCTCCCCATATGTCAGACGACAATCATCATTTGTACACTTGTCCTTATTAATTAGGGGAAACTACAGATAAATCCCTAATCCAAAACTCAACTCACAGATCAGTCCCTAGGTAGTTTCCCCAAGCAATTCAGTCCCTACTCACGCGCCTAACATGCAGTTCAGTCCCTAATAAAATGTGCAAATACTAAAATACCCTTTACTTTATACTAATTTTACATAACTTATTTCCAACCTCCAACGCGCCGTTTGTGTTACACGCTCTTTGCCCGTTACATTTCAAAAATCAAACAACAAGAAATAAGCTAAACATAGAAGAAACGAAGAACAAAGAAACAACAAAGAAGGAGGAAACAACGAAGCACGAAGAATCAACAAAACGCAGAAACATTATAAAACGAAAGGAAAAATAAAAATAAACAAACCCATTTCTCGACAATGGTGAATCAGGGTAAACAACAAGGTTTGATTTTTTTTTTCCCTTTCATTTTCTTGGAAACAGACCCATTTGGGTGTTGCTTAAGCTTGCAAAAAGGTTTATTTGTTGTAGAATTGCATGATTTTGAACATATCCTCTCATGGGTATTATGCCTCGACTTTATTCGGTGTTTTCCCTAATCATTAAATCGGTTCCAATATCTGTTTTTCTGTTGATTGGGTTTGCAAAGATCATTTATTTGTTGTCGAATTTCATGATTTTGTAACAGTTTCCTGATGGGTATTATTCTTCGGTGACATTAGCATGTCCCCAAAGCATTTTGAGTTCTAACAAGGGTTTCATGGGAAAGAGGCTTATTGTAGTTTTCGTACTGGTTCTATAGTATGTGTCATGCGCAGTAATGGTATTAATAGTGCATTTAGATGGTATTGACACAGGGTACTCGAAGTACTGTCCCGAAAGCATTTAGCCCCAACAAGGGATACGTCATATGTAATAATGACATTGCTCTTGACTTCGGACAGTATTAACACAGGGTACTGGAAGTATAATCTTTGATGGTTCTGTAGTATGTGTCATATGCCACAATAGTATTACTAGTGCCTTTGAATGGTATTACTAGTGACTTTGGATGGTATTGACATATGGTACTAGAAGTATAATGTTTGATGGTCCTGTAGTATAAGTCATATGCCATAATAGTATTACTAGTGCCTTTGAATGGTATTACTAGTAACTTTGGATGGTATTGACATGTGGAACTATATAGTACGTTGTATTTGTTATAATTGTAGTTTTATGTGTATGTAATTGCAGGAATTGATGTAAAAGAAGATTGCAGCAAGCTATCAATAGGCTGCAGGTGCTCACCGATCGCTTTTCAAACAAGCATGGAAGGTGTGAAAAAAGTGATGAAGAAACAACATTATGAAGTACTGAAGAAAAATCCCTTCTATCACTACATGGACATGCCTAAAATAAACCACAGCTTCCATAGGGTTGTGTCTCTCATGCAAGCGTACAATGTAAAAGATCGGGCCTTCTGGTTTGGGGGAAATCCTATACGCTTGGAAGTGTTTTGGGGTTTTTGTGTTTTTTGGTAATTAATGAACAAATGAATGTGTTTTTGTGCCATAAACAATCTGTCCTTTTGTTGTAGAGCTAATAATACTATTGATTAGCTCGCTTCGTACTTTTCCATTGTATCCATTGTACTATATGTTTCTATGAAATGTACTTACCTTTTGAACACATGGTACTTTATTTTGCGATTAGTTAGTTTGTATAAAGAATATAAGCGTACCATAAAAATGAGCAACAAATACTTTCTAGTCTATTCGAAGATACATTGTTAACACTAGACTTGTACTTACTTGATGAACAAAGCGTACTTCACATGTGTATTCACGAAACAATTACCATAAACTGAAGAATTGTGTCTATTCATTCTTAATAGTCTTAAAATGAAGAGTTATGCCTTAAAATGCGATCATATGGATGCATTGGCCCCACAATAATATATAGATTGTAACAATACTATATGAATGGCAAACATATACTTTATCAGTGAACAAAGCGTACTATAGTCACGAATCACTTGTACTTCACATGTGTATTCATTGTACTTACTTGATGAACAAAGCGTACCATATTTTTTGATGAACTGAATTGTACCAATTTCATTGACGCTTTAATGATCAATAAGTACGGGAGATGCATAAATTATGTTTTAGATGATTATTTTAAGGTAGGTGAGCATTATTGTTGCGTTTGGAATACAAGATCCCATAAATATGTTGAATTTCATACATGATACTCATATACTATACAATATATTCATACAAGTCTACAATGCTCAAGTGTAAAACTAATATTTTCCTCAATTGTTACCATAATCGATATTGATCGACTCCCACATTGTCTCCATTCATTCTTAATAGTCTTAAAATGAAGAGCCGTGTCTTAAAATGCGATCATATGGATGCATTGGCCCCACAATAATATATAGATTGTAACAATACTATATGAATGGCAAACATATACTTTATCAGTGAACAAAGCGTACTATAGTCACGAATCACTTGTACTTCACATGTGTATTCATTGTACTAACTTGATGAACAAAGCGTACCATATTTTTTGATGAATTGAATTGTACCAATTTCATTGACGCTTTAATGATCAATAAGTACGGGAGATGCATAAATTATGTTTTAGATGATTATTTTAAGGTAGGTGAGCATTATTGTTGCGTTTGGAATACAAGATCCCATAAATATGTTGAATTTCATACATGATACTCATATACTATACAATATATTCATACAAGTCTACAATGCTCAAGTGTAAAACTAATATTTTCCTCAATTGTTACCATAATCGATATTGATCGACTCCCACATTGTCTCCATTTATTCTTAATAGTCTTAAAATGAAGAGTTGTGTCTTAAAATGCGATCATATGGATGCATTGGCCCCACAATAATATATAGAGTGTAACAATACTATATGAATGGCAAACATATACTTCATCAGTGAACAAAGCGTACTATAGTCACGAATCACTTGTACTTCACATGTGTATTCATTGTACTTACTTGATGAACAAAGCGTACTATATTGGCGAATAACCCAAACTTTTACCAGCTTATATATTGTACTTATTTGGTGAATAAAGCGTATTATATTAAGCTTACTATATTCACGAATAACCCGAACTTTACCAGCTTATACATTGTACTTATTTGGTGAACAAAGCGTTATATTCACGAATAAACTGAACTTTACCAGCTTATACATTGTACTTATTTGGTGAACAAAGCGTACTATATTCACGAATAACCCTAACTTTACCAGCTTATACATTGTACTCTTATGTTCACTAATTAAACAACGGTACATAGGTTTTACATACATGTAGACTGCAAATATTACTAGATTCAACACTATTAAACTATGAACTACTCCATCTTCAGAATTGCAATTCTTCACTTCACTTTCTTGATGGACTTGGTTCATCGACGCACTTGTAGCTTCATTTTCTTCACGATTTGAGTTGGAAAAAGTTTGCCCAACTTCAAATGGTTCACACCAATGGGAGTAGCCATGGTGTCGGCAACAGTAAAATAACCTTCCGGGATTCAAAATAGTTTCTGAAACCATGATTATTGTTTTCTTCCCACAATCAAGACGCTTGCATTTCCCTTTTTTGTATTTTAACCCACTCATTTGAGTGGTGCTACTCGAAGAGTAGCATCACCACAAGTGTGCTCAAGATTGCATTTACGAATGCTAAATAACTTATCTGACTTGTACAATAATGCATAAACCCTCCATTTGCAGTTTTCGTCAATGCATACTGCTATGATCTTTTGTTGATCATTTTTCATGTACTTAAATGATCGATTATTAGCAATAGAATAGTTTTTCAGCATATGCCTAAAATCATCAGGATCTTTAAAAAACTGATTCTCCCCACGGATGCAATGTCTCCATGCATCAATTGAATTTCTAAGCGGATTACCCTCGATTTCCATCGATTGATTGCCGCTTTTGGTTTAAAAAAATTTAAAAAATGGATTACAATAGAGTGGAATCCAAATAACAATGTACATGAAAATATCATAACAATGCACTGGTTCCATACTATCTTCTCCATTATATAATACTAAGTTTTCCCACAAATAGTACCAAGTTTACCTATCACCTATACTATCCGAATAATGGTTACATACTGTCTTCCCCATTATATGATACTATGTTTTCCCACCAACAGTACCAAATTTACCTATCACCCATACTATTCAGATGAAGGTTACGTATTATCTTCCCCATTATATGATACTATGTTTTCCCACCAACAGTACCAAATTTACCTATCACGCATACTATACGAATAACGATTACGTATTGTAAGTACCATACGTCCATACCATATTTATATTAGCATGGTACTATTACGTGCCATATTTTATACTATGTATCATAATAATTAACAACCATAAAGAAATGCATTTCAGTAGTACAGAAAAATATGGAGACCTACCAGCCATCGGTGCGAACCCTCTTTCGTGGAAAAAAGAGGAAACCAGAGGAGAGAAAGAGAGAAGAAATAGAGAAGAAAAAGAGCAGATAGAAATGAAGAAAGAGAAGAAAGAAAGAGAAGATGAAGAGAGAGAAAATGAAGAGAGAGAAAATGAGGAGAGAGAAAATGGTGAGAGTGAAAAAGAAGAGAGAGAATATAATAAAATATATTAAATTTACATTAGGGACTGATCTGCATGTCAGACGCGTGAATAGGGACTGATTTGCTTGAAGAAACTACCTAGGGACTGATCTGTGTTTTGAGTTTTGGATTAGGGATTTATCTGTAGTTTCCCCTATTAATTACTCCTATGTATTAATTTTAAGGCTCATTTACATTTTTGTACCGTTAAAATTTACATATGTATGGTCGTATTTAGCCTCGTATAGGAAAAACGAAAATTACAAAACGCCCCCTATTTTTATCGGCCAATAATCAAAATATTACAAGGTTAAGAACATGTTTCAAGACATCTTATAAGATGTGTAAGAGCTCATAAGTTATCTTAAAAAGTGTTTGATATTATTTTTTAAAACAATTAAAAATTCAGTGACTTCCATTGCCATGTATATATGTGTGTGTATTATATATACTAGTATTTTTTCTCCCGTGCGATGCACGGGATATTATTTTAAAAGTGAAAAAAAAATTAAAAGTGAAAAAAGAAAATCAATTTAATACATAATAAGAAAATATAGTACACTAACATAGTAAAATTTAATAATGTAGTATTATTCATATTTTATATAACATTAGTTTTTTTTTCTTTTTTAAATCTTATATATTAATAATTATAATCCAAATATATAGATTAACGTTTAACAAATTATATTTCTATCTTTATCTGTTAAGATTTGAGATATATTGATAAAAAATAGGAGATTGATAATTGTTGAATATAAATAGTTAGAAATTAGTAGAGAAAAAATATTAAAAAAAAATAATTACAGAAATACCATTAGGGTTTTTAGGGTTGCCCAGCGTTTCTTTCTTTTATATATAAGATATATATATATATATATATATATATCTTATATATTATCGAAAAAATAATATAATATTTTTCTTGGATGAAACATTTTTTTTTCTGTGTGTGTGTTTCAAAATGGCAGAGACATTGATCTTGGTTGTTTTAATGGAGTACTGGAAATATGCACAGTTGAAAAAGCTGGGGTTACTATTTTGACTCTGTTGACAATTTAGAATTTAGTGGAATATAATATATATATATATTCATTGCTTCTTTTAATGGGTACATTTTGTCAACAGTGAATTGGTAAAGGAATAGTAGTGTTTTTGAGCAGCAGCAATTTTGACTTAAATATTTTGATTAATTTTTTTAACTCAGAATTGTAAGTCAAGTTTAATTTTAAAAAGAAAATGGTTTTCGATTTGATTTTAGTTTTTGAAAAATAATTCAATACGAATTCTTCAAAGAAATATATATTTATAATATTAATAGTTTTATCAAAACATATAATTAGTTTTTATGTACAAAGTTGCTTAATTACATCTTACATCAGGGGCGGCCGTAATTTGCCCAAAAATAATTGTGGTATAAATATAAAAAAAAAAAAAAAATAGTTTAAGGGTGATCATAATTATCCAAACAAGAAGGATTTTTTCGTAATTTTATCTTACATCAAGGTGTGAGCCGTAATTTACCCAATGAATCAATACCTAAATAACAGAATAAAAAGACATATTATGAAAGCCCATTCTATTTGGGCCTTCCAATAAATCTTTTCTCCCACCTAAACCCAAGAAGACAACATGAATATCACAAAAATCAAACATTTGAGTTCATATGATCAGTGTACACAAGTCCTGTAATAATAATGAAGGGCAAATTACGGCCACCCCTGAGGTATGGTCAATTACGAAAACTCCCTCTTGTTTGAGTAATTACATTACAGTCACCTCTCAACTATGTATTATCTTATGAAAAGACCCCTTCAAAGATAAATTTAGGGATGTTAATTCGGTAAAATCGAACCGAAATTTCGGTATGCCAACATTTCATAGCGATTACCGAACTAAATATACAACTTGGTTCGATAAATAACCGAATTACATAAATTTAATGTAAAAATATTTCAAAGTAGGGGTGGTTGTAATTACCCAAACAAGAGGGATTGTTTCGTAATTAGACCATACCTCAGGGTGGCCAGAATTTGCCCTAACAATGAATGATCAAGAATTCCAAACAAGATAAAAAACATACAAGAATCACACAAAGCAAATGAAACACTAAACAATTTCACAAACCAAAACCAGTCCATCTCCGAAAATCATAACCACCACTTCCTTGAGCAACCGCCATCCCGATCCCGCTTCTCCCGCCTCTCCCGATCCCTATGTAGTACAATCTCATCTCCTCTGTTTCTCCGTCCATCTGAACCAGATACGGATATCCCACTCCTTCGCAATCCCATCTGCCGTCGCCGGATTGCTCCAGGACAGGATTATCCTGCACCCTTGTCCAATCCTTCAATCCGTCCAACGAAACCGCCATGCCAATACCCCTCCTCTTCCCGTTCGCACCGACGCCTTCGTAAACCATCGTGTACTTCCCATTCTTCCTCAAGACACGAGCGTTGACCGCGCCACACTCGTCGAACGAGCCACCGGGCCCCGCTCCGAGAATCTTCCCCAGCTTCACCCACCTTATCCCGTCCCTCGATCGAGCGACCCCGACGGCGAATTCCCCGTTTTGGACATCGAACGAGTGGTAGTACATTCTGAGATCGCCACTACCGTGGAAGACAACCTGCGGTGAGGCGAGGAAGGGAGAATCCCAGTCGCCTTCGGGTCCCGCGTCGAGCAACGCTCCGCTGTGGTGATCCCCTTCGATTCTTGCCCAATGCCTCCCGTCTTGGCTCATCGCCAAGCCGGGCAACGACTTGGGAATCGGGGGTGAGTTAGGCAAAGATTGGACCTTTTCGGAAGAGAATCCGGTGTAGTACATCCAGTAGACGCCGCTGTTGGCTCTGACTTTATTGCTGGACATTATCACAACCTCGGAGGGCGTGACGCCGTGGGTGTCGAACGCCCACCAGTCTTGACTGCTTCCCATGACCAATCCCACATCGGCATTTGATCGAACAGGTCCCGTGCCCCTTTCCCAGTGGATCCCGTTGCTCGAAACAGCTAACCCGATCGAATCGGAATCCGGATTCTCGCCGGACCGGCCGTGGTACCACATGTACCACCGCTCCTCCTCGTCGCCGAGGTACCTTTTCACGACCGGCGAGCCGATTTCGACGCTGTCCCAGGAATTGTCGGGGCCCAAATCGAAGATCAAACCCCTCGAGAGCGACGGATTTGAAGGAATCGGTGGAATTGAAGTGGGCGCCGGCGTCGGCGTCGGCGTGGATTCTTGTGGTTGGATTCTTGAATTGGGAAGCGACCCGCTGCTCGAGTGATTCTCCTCCGTTGTATCTTTGTTGGTGTTTGGCTTCGTGGAGCAGTGGGCGAGAAACAGGGGAATATTTTTGCTCGTGGGTTTGGGGGAAGTGAAATAGAGGAATTGGGGCTTTGATTGCGGCCATTTTGAGGTTAAATTTGTCGGTATGTGGTGAACTGCTGCTGTGATTTCCATGGCTGCAGAGAATTTTTGAGAGTTCCAAGTTTGAAGGGATAGGTGGAGTGAAAGATTAGTTAGTACTTTGTATAGGTTTTGTACAACCAATAGGATTTTGACACGTGTACACTTGTCTAGTATTTTGTGTATTTTGGGCAATTTTACCAACTACTTTTTCTTTTCTTTCTTCTTTTACTTTTTTTGGAGTTTCAAGTCATTCTTACTACTTGAAATTAAGAATTAAAATCAAAATTAAGAATTAGATATGACTATATGAGAGATGAAGTAAGTTTCTTCATATTGTATAGCATAATCAAATATTATTCCCCAACTTCACCTTAAATCAAATAGTAAAATGTGTACAGAAATCCACGTCCATATTTATGTACGGATGAACCAGATAAAGACGGTCTGCTCCCGAAAAAACTTAGTTCGGAATCTTTTTAAGTAATTACCAAAGGAAAGAACCTTGTGATTAGACATAAGTTAATGAAAATTGTCCCAAATAATTCATCTTAAGTAAAAAAAGAAAAGAAAAAGGGTAAGGAGAGTGTACTTGCCTCACAAGGAAGGTATAGCATTTGCTTACTATACCAATTTGTAATAGAGAAAACACCTTCTCAAAAATTGAAAACAAATTAGATGAAGTATAAGGATAAAATTGGAAAAATCCCACTGCGTGGCTGATCATGAATTATATCTTACTTGAACATAGAGGCATTAACAGAGGAAAATTTTCCCACGCCGAAAGCATACAAAAAGTCGAAAACACATCTTCGTCGAACCACCCAGTCTTAATACTAAAATTCAAGATATAACCCTCGTGCCAAAAGTACACTACGTCGCTATTCCACGGATGAAACGCCACCGGAAAGAGGGGACTATAACTCGAAAGCAAATTACATAAAAACCCGAAAGAGTCGATCTTTCTCTCTCCCGACTCCCGATCCAAACTCCATTCCCCTCTCTCGTAGTCTTTCATCACCCACAATTTCCATGCAGGCAAATTATAATCTTGAACAGAGATTCCATTCATTTCAAAATAGCACAATTTTCCACCCGAGACCCCCAAAACCGCGTTCTTTCCGTTCATATGGTAGGCCCCGTTTGGCACGCTTATGAACCGGCAAAAACCGTAATTTTTGCTGCGAGGATCATAAGTCAAAAGGGCTGTCATTTTATTGCAAATCCAATGAAGAACCCCTCTGAACACAACGCACGGTCTTGCATCGAATTCCACTTTAGACGTGCAATTATTTATCACAGCCTTAAAATTCATCCACTCTCCTCTCTCGGAAGAAAATATCTCGAGATTTAGAGAGGATTTAATTATTACTCGTACGACATTGTAACTTGTGATTCCATCTTCGACATTGGAAATCAATCCTGTGGGGCCAGAACTTCTTCTCGTGCTATGCATTGGAAGCGATACAAATTGCTTTGTGAAAGGGTTGGCTAAAAAATACACGGGCTGATGAGAATTCTCTGATCGATACAGAATCAAGTCGTTGTTCGTTGATTCGATTTTCAAGGGCGGAATTTGATCGTGTAGCGAAGTGAGATATTTTAACGTATTTTTCTCGGTGGAAATGAAGAAATGTGCTCTGGCGGTGTTACTACACTGGAAAACGAGCGAAAAGGGAGGCGAATCGTACCGCGAATTTATGTAACGAGTAAAAAACGAAGGTTCGGAAATCAGAGAGAGCCAATTCTTGGAGACACATTTGAATCGGAAGATCGATTTGGCGGGGAGTTTGACAAGAATTTCGAGCAATGTTTCGTCTGGAAAATGATCGTATGGTTTTTCGTCTCTGGTTTCCATTTTTTTTTTGGTTTTTGTTTTTCATTAATGGATTCTGTTTCAGACAATGTACCTTCAAGAAAATTATTATATGTAACCCTGCCTGAGACAAACTGGAATTGCTGTTGTGGTTTGCACGATTTCGTAATGGAATAAATGGACAGGGATTTTTGTGTGTTTTTATTTATTTATTTATTTATTTAATTAAATTTATGGGATTATGCAATGGACTAGCATTTTACGTGCAACAAATTATTCTGTCTCAGTATTTGTTTGCCTTTTAATATTTTTAAACAAAAGCAAATTGCCCTACTTATCGACTTGAGGGGTTTTATCGGGTAGTTAGATGTTATATCTGGTTATTTATATTATATTAGGTGGATTTGAACTGTATATTTAATTAAATAATTATTCACTAAAAACACACATATGTGTGTATGATCATGTGTAGATCTAGCACCAACTTACCACCTCCGGAACCTGTTGAGCTATCGTTTGTTCAAATTCAACAAATGTAAATAATCAGCTGTAACATCTAATTTCCAGATTTTATTCTACCTTACTTTAAAGATTTGTTGAAAATGTTGATTATGGGTGAAAATGCTTATGAAAATTTCAAATTTCATCGATTTGGATATAATAATTATAGGTAATTACATCTACACCCCTGATGTACCTTAAAATAATTTTAAGGTCCTTGTAGTATCGATAATCACAATTACCCCTGAAACATTGTTAGAAACTCTAACGGAATAATGCATTGGATAAGTTATTCCGCTAGGATTATAATGGACTATTAGTTTCTGGCACTGGTGGCGACCGCATAGAGCTAGAGGGTGACACGACTCTCCTAACATTTCTTAAATCCATATTATATAAATTATTTTATATAAAATTTATAAATTTTCGTCTATGGTATCATTAACGGCGCCGCGGGGAACAAATTTAGTGCATATCGGGTCCAAGGACATGAAATCTTGTAATTACGAATATCGGTAATTGTTTCAGGGGTGTGGTAGTAATTACGAATACCACAAGGACCTTAAAGTCATTTTAGCATACCTCAGGGGTGTATCTATAATTGATCCTAAAATTATTGATAAAATCGGAATGATTTTGTTTTCGTTTTGATTTTTGAACATTTCTTTGGGTCGAGATCGAACTATATGTATGAAATCTGATTCGATTTTAAGTGAGATTTTCGTTTTTCAAAAAAATTATATATAAGTCATTTATGTATTTTATGATGTATGGATCAATTCTGATAAATAAAAAATTATAATATTGCAACAATTTTTTTTCATTATAATTTTCAACCTTAAAAATAAAATTTATATATTAAAAAAAAAAAAATCAAATTCATTTTCGATATTGCTCTTTTCCTCTTCACACTTGGAACGCCGTCGTTTCACTCTGTACCGCACTCACTCGCGTACTCTACCCTTCCTCCTCCCTCTCCCTCTGCTAATCGCCGACGGCTAATTTTACGCACTTAACGTGCGCCGAATCGATATGGCTTTGCGGCTCTCGATGCTAAGAAGCGCCGATAGGAAAGCGGAGTACGCCCTAGGTGGCATCCGGCGTTTTGCCCACGCATTGGCCCAACCAGCGCCGCTAGATACTGCAATCACCCACCGGATCAACACCACCTCGCCACCGTTGGCTTTGCCGGAAAATCATGACGACAAAAACACGAGAGTCGAATTTCCGAATTTACCATATTTTGGTGGAGCCATGGAACTCATGGCTGTTCCCAAGAGGAAGGTGAATTCCGCTCGCATTTATTATTTTTGGCTGAATGTTTAAGCTTTGAAATATATTTGAAGATTTTAGTTTTCTCTGGTGTTACCGCCGTCTGATATTTTCCGACGATTTAATTCTGCCTTCATTTTCTTAGTTAGGGTTTAGGGTTTAGGAAATATTTTGGTTAATGGGGTTAAATTGCCGCTTGATTTAATGAATCTGTGACCTTTGCGTTTTCAATTTTATTAGCAATTGGTGATTTTTGTTTCACTAATGTCTAGTTTAGTACTAAATCTGACTGTTTTTCGTTGTATGCGACTGTTGCTTCTTTAGCATATGTTGTTTCTTCTCTCGCCGACTGTTGGAATTTTAGACGAGAAAATCAATAATTAGAACTATAGTATAATGTCAATATGAGTTATGGATTATTTTGCTCCAAGTAAATGTAGCTGGAAATGGTGGAGTTTGTTTGTAGCCAGGTCATTCTTCGTTTATAATAGTGGATCTTGCTACAGGTTAAAATGTGTCTTTGGCTGTGGAATATAATGTTCCGGATATTTACACCGATGCAAGATCTATGAGTTCCTTAAACCTTGTTTTAGCTAAAAGTTTACAGATAGCGTTGTTCAAGCATTACGTGACTTGATCCAATGACTTTGGTTTCGTAATTCATATTGTAAATGGTGTGGAACGAGTCCTATATAGAATTTATGTTTCCTGTTCTTTCCATGATTTCTTCCTTTTTAGCATGTGAGATTTGGACATATATTATCTTTGCAAAACTAGAATATCGTAATGTCGTAATCGTGCCATAGTGGAACCCAAAACTATCAAGGGCAGTGCAGTGCTTGAAAAATCTGTTGTTGTCTTCTTCCCTTGTGTTAATTTACTATCTTACGTAGTCTTTAATCTGTGTTCATTTGACTCCTTTCTGATCTATTCCGATTTCCGAGACTTCACAAAAGGGAATGTCTTCGTGCACTTGATTTAGAAACCACTTTATCTAAATCCCTTCTTTCTTTTGTACTTTCATCGCCTATCAAACTATGTCAATGGTTCATCCGACACCCCCGTACGGCCGTATATTTTTTGGACTCGTTTTTTTGTGTTAACAGTCATTTGCTCAGTGCCATGTCAATTGTTGAATGCTACAATCTTTGGTACTCAAAGTTGAAATGCTTCTTCTTGCAGACTACGCCACACAAGAGAGGTATTAGAAACGGACCAAAGGCTTTGAAACCTATCCCGGTAATCGTCCGCTGCAAGTAAGTTGTTTTTTGCAATTTCATTTTGTTCCGAAGTTTATCGACTATGTTTTGAATTCGTGACAAGAAAATATTTAAACAACACTATATTTGTGTTTCTGAATTTATATTTTATGCCTACGTATTTTAAAGCATATTCAAGTTAAATAGAGCATGCAACTTAAGAAATGACTCGGCAAAAGCCTTTTCCCCTTTATGAATGACGTATAAAAATTTGTTGTTGATGGGGTTTTAAATAAAAGAATCTAGATCCTACAGTGGGCCGTAAATCACGACTGGCCGTTATCTTCTATCTATAACTTCTAAATCTTGGCAAATTTATTACAATCGGTTGTATCTTGGCAGGGCTTGTGGTCGGGTGAAGCTGCCACACTTCTTCTGCTGCAGTGGGATCAAGCAAAATCCTGAAGAGAACAACAGTTAGAATTTATTACTGTGCTCCTGAATGTCGAAATCTTTTTGCTACATGATTCAGCGTATTCTTGTTTAAAAATTGCCTGGTTTTTTTTCTTTCTTTGGGTCAATTGCGAGACAATGCCTTACCTGCGGGTTCTATCGCTATAAACTAGACATGTTTAAAGTTGTTACTTAGGTTCAGTTTTTGCTGTTGACTAATGCTTAAGGTAATAATTAATTTTGCATTCAGAGTCTTTTGAAATTCTTAGTTCTATTCCTCTCATGAAATCCAAATCTTGTAGTCCAAATGTAACCTTAGCAAATTAATATTTTATAGTGAAATTCTGAAATTGAATATTTTTACAAAATATGGCAGCGATATTTTTATGATTGGCTGAAAATTGTTTGAAATTTAATAGTGTACTTCTGAAATGAGTTGAAAATTGATGGAGAAATTCTAAGATAGGTAAGGTCAAATTACCAAAAAAACACATTTATGTTTGGGTAATTATAATCACCCGTCAATTATATATTATATTACAAGTCCACTTTTATGGTGTCAAATTTACTGTTGGAAATTGATTTTTTTAACAATAAAATTACATTTACTTTCCGTTAATTGTAAAAAGGGCAAATTACGGCCACCCTTGATTTATGGACAAATTACAAAAAACCTCTATTGTTTGGGTAATTATAGTCACCTCTCATTTTAAATATTTTTACATAAAATTTATGTGATTATATTATTCACCGAATCAAATTGTATATTCAGTTCGGTAAACAGTATGAAATGTTGGCTTACCGTAATTTTTGTTCGGTTTTATCGATTTAACATCCCTAAATTTATCTCTAGAGAGATAGTTTCGTAAGATAATACATAATTAATGAATGACTGTAATTATTACCTAAATAGAGAAATTTTCGTAATTTGACGGTAACTAATTTGTCATTATACTCCCTCCGTTCCTAAATAATTATCACTTTTCACTTTTCACAAAAATTAAGAAACTCAATAAATATATCTTGATTTTAAAAAAATCATATAAAAATGACTAAAATAAGCTTTATTATTTAATGATTTATAGGAGAAAATTAATGAATAGAATTTCATTAATAAGATTAAAATAGGAAAAATACATTTAATACAGTTTTGGAAATCTAAAATGATATGGAACAAAAATATAAAAAAAAAAAAAGACAGTTATTGCCTTTTTCTAGTTTCTATGAAGCGTCAAATAAATAATAAAATAGACAGACTGAGTGACGACTGTACGATAGCGTGTCAATACACGGTGGGACGCAAGGTGCCCTACTAAATCTAAAATCCGAGTCATCACACAAGTATTTATCCCCTGCTCTCTCACCCACCTTAAGCAAGCCATGCACTTTCGGCAAACCGCACCATTAAATATCGTGAAGCTCTGTAATTCGTCCACGTGTCGACACTTTGGGTAGTCTGTACTGCAGGCAATCCTTTTCTTCACCTCACGGAAAAAGCGGTTTGTTTTTCTGGGGAGTAGCAAATTAGCAGCAACAGTCAGTACTTGTGCAGATTTGTTTTCACATAAAACCATTTATCATCTCCCAAAAGTATATCCGCTGCCATTTCCCCCAATCAACTTTTAAAGGTAATTCAAATTTCAATCTTCTCTCTCTCTCTCTCTCTGCTTTTCCGGTTCGTCTTATGATGTTCAAGCTCGCTCTTCTACTATATTGTAGAGATTTGAGATGATTGTTTGTTTGAATACGAATCGGTTTTTTTTTTTTTATATAATTATTTTCCCTGTTTTCCGAGTTACAGTGATGGTTAATTGCTAATGTGTTTTAGCTGCAGTTAGTGATGATAATTGTTTTAGTTGAGCGATTAATTGAATTTCCTTCTCATTTGGTGTGTGTGAGTGTGTGTGTGTGGGTGTGTGTGAGTGTGCTTGAGCGTGTGTGTGTGTGTGTGATTGTGGATTGCAAATTTGCAGTGCCAGTTGCATGCAGCTACAGTACTGATAGTAGTATGAGTTTTTTTTTTTTTTTTTTTTTAATTTATGATTTGGTTAATATGGCTCCTGAAACATTGGGTGAAGCTTTTCCTGATTTGACTGAAAGTGGACTGAACTGCAACAATTTTTTTTATTTTCTATTTTTTTTTATAATTAGTTAGTCTAAGATAACTATATGAACTCGAATTGTCTAATCTATTAGATTTCCGACAGTCTGAATGATGATATACGAACTGAAATTTTAGAAATATTTAGTCGACATTTTGAAAAATTTGAGGTCAACTTTAAATGCCTGATGAAAATTTTGTCAATGCAGTTTGTGAGGCTTTACCTGCAGATGAATGACATGTCCAAATTTAGGTGTCTAAATGTTTTGACTGGACACTCATCTTCTCAGGAACTTGATTGGATTATATGTACCATGTTTCGAAAATTGAAGAGACATATCTCGTTTATACTGTCTGAATTCCTTTTCCTGCAGATTATTGCAAAGTTACTACCCTATATATATATAAAGAATCTCTGTAACATTTATTTTTTTCGTGGCATGCGCAGTTCCACCAGAGGCAGGGGAAGGATAAAGACAGACTCGAAAGTAGTTGTTAAATAGGAAGGCAAATATGAAGTTTGGAAAAAATCTTAAGAAACATAAGGTACCTGAGTGGACAGAGGCCTATGTTGACTACAACGGACTCAAAAAAATATTACAAGAGATTCGAAATTTCAGACGAAACAAGCCAAATACAGTCGGTGATTCCCCGAAGAGGTTATCAATGTTCAGGGAATTTTCTGCTTTAACTCGACATGACGACAATCTCAAGAATCAAGTGGATATTGAGAATCCAGTAATATCTGTTCACACCGTGCAACAAGAGAACTCCAGAAAGTTATACAACACCAAGTTGCTCTTGTCCCCTGAAGAAGGAGAAAGCGAAGAGAACGAGAGAATATTTTTCGAAAAACTTGATAACGAGCTCAACAAGACCAATGATTTTTATAAGGACAAGGTAGAAGAAGTGATGAAGGAAGCCGCTTTGCTCAAAAGACAATTGGAGGCTTTGGTTGCATTGAGAATCAAGGTCACAAACCAAAGCTGTGTGGCCCCGTCGAAGATTAAATCTCCTGTCAGATCAGACACTGTCGGTAATCTCTCAGCATTTTGAGTATTTTTCCAGCCAATTTGATAATATAATCGGCGGTGACAGAAAAAAAAGGTGTAAAATGACTGTATACGATTGAGGTTCAATCATGTTTCATTTGTTGAAGTCTCCAATAATTTGTTCATTTTTTAAGTTCAGTAACTTAATAATTTGTATCCATAGATTTTTTTTCTGGTTTGACACAGAAGTGGACTCGAGCTGTCAAGTTCAGCGCGCTGATAGTGTAGCTAAAGGCAATATTCCTCCCACTGAAAATTCTGTAGATACCGTAACAGATCAAGAGAATATCGATGAACAAAACCGTTCTCATATAGACATCCTTGATCGTATAAAGATTTCAAAGACATTCGACAGTCCAATTTCAACAATTAAAGGAGTTCTCAAAGACTCCAGAGGAAACGGTTTGAGTTACAACAAAGAAGAACTGAAAGAAGTTGAAGAAAAGTTGAAGGTTGCATTTGTCGAGTTCTATCAAAAGCTTAGCCATTTAAAGAGTTACAGGTAGATGACTACGTGCAAACACAGTCTTGATTTCCACAAAATGTCCTCTGCTTCTTTCTGTAAATATCATAAGTTGAATGTACAAACAGCTTCATGAATCTCTCTGCCTTCCTGAAGATCCTGAAGAAATATGAAAAGGTATGAAACCTGTTGATTTTAATGCTTTTACCATGTTCATAGTGGTCTGAGTATCTTTAAATGTTTTATTTACTTATAGCTTGAATGCAGATAACTTCAAGGAGAGTTGCGAGCTTATACATGAAAATTGTGGATAACTCGTATCTTGGAAGCTCGGATGAGGTACTTCCGATTTTTGCTTATTCTTTAATTTTGAAGAAGTTATGATGGTGGAATACAGTATTTTAATGTTTCTACTCGCGAATAGCTTATTAGATAAGCATGTTTGTTTCCCGTATAGTGGAAAGTTTATCTGTTTTTCCAACCACACCCTCCAGTAATATAAAAGTTTTTGTGTGTGTGTGTGTGTGTGTGTGTGTGTGTGTGTGTGTTTTAGAATATAATTTTGAGACTAATGAGACTATATATACACAATATACACATATACAATCTTTGATGAGACTTTAAATTTTTCTTCGGGTGATCACAGGTCATCAGTCTCATGGAAAGGGTAGAGGCGGTCTTCATCAAAAACTTTTTGAATTCTAACCGCCGGGAAGGCATGAAATTGCTGAGGCCAAAACAGAAGATAGAAAAACACCGTGTAACATTCTTATCGGGTAAGTGACGTGACAAATTACATCACACTTTTATCGTAGAGAAATTCCATTTGTAGCTGAAAGCTGAATATTACGCTTCCAAAAATGTCAACTGATATGTAACTTCTAACGGATTTGTGCTACCAGGTTTCTTTTCTGGTTGTTCGATCTCTCTACTAGTTGCTGTTATTCTACTTATTGAAGATCGGAAATTGATGCATAAAAAGGGGGCGACTTCATACATGTATACTATCTTCCCACTGTATAGGTAAGAAAACTGTACTGTTTTTGTCTACTCTATAATGATGCTGGAATTAAATTTAAACAATTTCTAGTATCGTACTGAAATTAAATGTAAACTTCTTGCAGCTTCTATACATATATAGTTCTTCACATGCTTGTGTATGCTGCAAACATATATTTTTGGAGGCGTTACAAAATCAACTACCCGTTCATATTTGGATTCAAACAGGGGACCGAGTTAGGCTACCGAGATATTTTTCTCCTCAGCAATTGTCTTGCAGTGGCTGCCCTTGCCACTTTCCTAGTACACTTGCACGTAAAGATGGACTCGAAAAGTCAACATTATGAAACTTATGTTGAACTTCTCCCTTTAGGCTTGATCATTGTAAGATATGAAGAAAAATATAAAAAAATAGTAGCACCAATCATTTGATCTGTCATTACTCCACGTTTTTCCTAACTATGTTTTTTTTTCTTTTTTCATGTAGGTTCTTGTTGCTATTACATTTTGCCCCTTTAATATAATCTATCGTTCGAGTCGTTTCTTCCTTATAAAGTGCGGCCTTCGTTGTGTTTGTGCTCCTCTTTATAAGGTAAGCTTAACATGGATATTGTTTATGTCTCGATAGCATTGCTCAAATTTGATTTGGTAATCCATTTTCCTGTAGGTTACACTGCCTGACTTTTTCTTGGCAGACCAATTTACTAGCCAGGTTTTTTTGTGTTCTGCTTATTGTCATTTTGGTACATCTTCGTACTTCATATCATTGTTAAGTAACATGTTCTCTGTTTGATTTGCAGGTACAGGCAATAAGGAGCTTTGAGTACTACATTTGCTTCTACGGCGGGGGAAAGTTTTCTCGAAGGTTGAGCAATTGCAACAGTCATGATGTCTATAATGTCTTTTATTTTGTTGTTGCGGTTATACCATATTGGTTTCGCTTTCTCCAGGTACACAATTTTTTATTTATTTATTTTTATAATGTTTCTGAAGTAATACTGAGACATAATTCATCAATCGTTGAAGTGTGTTCGTCGGTTGTTGGAAGAAAGAGATATCGCTCATGCATACAACGGTTTGAGATATTTCGGTACAGTTGTTGCTGTTGTCATTAGAACAGCTTATGAACTGAGAAAGGGAACATTATGGAAAGTATTAGCTTTGGTAAGCTCAGTTATTGCTACTATAGCAAATACATACTGGGATATTTTTGTTGACTGGGGACTTCTTCAAAGAAAGTCGAAAAACCCGTTTCTGAGAGATAAACTTCTCGTCTCCCACAAAAACGTCTACTTTGCAGCTATGGTAACAACATCAAGTTCACTCTATACCATGTTACTTGATCGTCCTTCGTCACCAACTATTTCGGATTTTACTGCAGGTTTTGGATGTTGTTCTGAGATTCGCTTGGCTACAAGTCGTCTTGACATTCGATGTACATTCATTACAAGGAAAGACAATAGCAACAATCTTTTCATGCCTCGAAATCCTTCGGCGTGGCTTATGGAACTTCTTCAGGTAATCTATCTTATTTAATTACTTCAAAATGAAAAGTAGGATTGGTTTGTGTACTTGTAAAATTAAACTTGATGATTTGTTTATTAGGTTGGAGAATGAACACTTGAACAATGTTGGCAAGTACCGAGCGTTCAAGTCGATGCCGCTTCCTTTTACTTACTACGATAATGAAGATGATGACGATGATGATGATGGTGTCATCGATAAGGATGACTAAGTCATCACTGCATATTCTTCCTGAAAATAATATGGAGAATTTTGTTTCCAATTTTATGGAATTCAGTCTTCTTTTTTAAATTTTCTGAGTAATTTCCGAAATAATTGAATTTAATTTTCGAAAATGCTATTTTTCATCCATGAAATTTCCACCTGTAGCCAAAATCTTTTAGGGACTGTTGGTTTTTTGTCTAAGCAATGACAAGCTATGTAGCACGGAAATGGCGATATGGTGAAAGGGGGAAACGGATACGGGGAAACGGCATGTTCCGAAAATGGGATAGGGGAATTTGGGGGAAAGCGTATAAATATTAAAGGTATAGGGGTATATTTTTAAATAGTTTATATAAACATATATAAGTTTTTTTTTATATATAAATTCCTTTTATATATTTTTATACAAACATATTCAAAACAAGTTTTACTATCAATTTGCAATTGCATTAAATTAAGTGAATAATTTGGGAAACAATAAATTTTTTTGAAAATTTGCTACTTAGACATGTTTATAATTTTTTAGAAATTACAAAGTAGTTGTAAAATGACCCATAAGGTGTTCGATACGTGTCTTCGAATTTCAGACACGAAACATTTCCTAAACGCGGAGACATTAAAAAGTTGAAGTTTTCGTTTTACATAGATGACAAGTGATTCACGGCGACTAAGAGAAATTATAATAATAATTATTAAAGTTGAAATTATATAAAATTGGGTAAATTACAATCACCTGAGGTAAAATGTAATTACAAAACCCCCTTTTGTTTGAGATATTACATCCAAACCCCTGCAATTTGTAAATTTTTTACATTCACACCACAAAAGGGTATTAATGTAAGACAGTTACAAATTTCAAGGGATGGATGTAATTATTGGAAAATCAGGGGCAATTTTTTTTATAAATAGACCTTACTTCAGGGGCTTATGTCAACATATTTACACAGTAATTAATTTTTTAAGGGAATTGCTATTTGCGGTTTGAAAATTGCTATTTGTAGTTTATAACAAAACCCCTCAAAAAAATACTTTATCTCTCTAAAACCCCAAAACTTCTCAAAAAAATCCAAAACCCCCCCCAACTTGGGCGCCCATTCATGCAGTGCACGCCCAAGTTGGGCGTGCAAGCAGCATTTGGGCGCCCGAGTTGGGCGTCCAATGCAATTTTTTATTTTTTTTTAATTGAACGCCCAAGATGGGCGCCCAAGGCATGTACGAACGCCCGGACACGCCTTGGGCGCCCATCTTGAGTGTTCGAACATTTTTTTGCGAAAAAAAACAGCCCTACAAATCGATTTATAGGACTTTTTAACATGAAATTGGTTCCGTAATCGACCTACCCAATACATATTACACATAAAAAAGTCGAAATTACATCAAAAAATCGAAGCCCAACCCTTCTTCAAGCTTGATTTCGATTGTTTTTTTTTTTTTTGCTATTTACAGTTTTGGGGGATTTTTGGATATTTTTAAAAGTTTTGGGGGATTTTGTTATAAACCGCAAATAGCAATTTTGTGATCGTAAATAGCATTTCATTTTTTGAATAGAAAAAGAAAAACGTAGAAAAGCGAATAAAGGAGATTAAAATATTCTCAGAAGAAAAAAAAGGGGTTTAAGAAGAGGGGTTTTAACTCCAGCAGCCATGGGAGACATTTTCTCCACGCCTTCACAACCAAACTCCAGCTCCTCCCCCAACGCCACCTCCGCCGCCACCGCCACCTCCGCCGCAAGCCCCACCATGTCTCCTCCAGATTCCCCGCAACCGCATCCACCCGAACCCACTCAGCACCACACAAACGAAGAATCAGAAACCCCAAATCGAGATCCACCAACAGATACAAAGTCTGCCGAACAATCCAAATCCGAATCCGAATCGCCAATTCAGGAAACCCTGGAAGAATCGATCAAAGGCGGAGGAGAAGAAGAAGTAGAAGAAGAAGAGGAGGAGGGAGAATGTGGATTTTGCTTGTTCATGAAAGGGGGTGGATGCAAAGACACGTTTACAGATTGGGAGAATTGTGTGGAGGAAGCGGAGAAGAAGCAAGACGATATCGTCGAGAAGTGTTTTCAGGCAACTGCAGCCCTTAAAAAATGTATGGAGGCTCATTCCGATTACTACGCTCCCCTTCTGCAGGCGGAGAAGGCGGCCGAGGAGGAGGCCGCCAAGCAATTGGAGGAAGAGAAACAAGCGTTGAAAGACGGAGAAGAAGAATCGACGAAGAAGGAAATCGAGGAAGCTTCGGTCAGCTCTGATCAAATGAAACAGCCTTGATTTCGGTATGATTCTCAAGATTGAGCCTTTTTTTTTTGGTTATACTTTTATTCTTGTTGAATGGGATTGTGAGGGTTTAGGAGATATTCACTTTGGTTAATCCAATGAACTCGAGAGTTTCGGACCGGAAATTAGTATGCTTTTCGAATAATTGTATTGAATATTGGAAGGAGATTCTTTCAATGCATATTGCTGATTATTAACTTGTTAAATCAATTTATCATTGGGTCGATAAGTTTGATACGTTGCTGCTTTTTTCTTGCAAGCTTATTAGTTGAAGATAAGTGCACCTTGCGATGAGACAAATCTTCACTTAGATTGTAATTTGTTTTTAAAATAGAAGCTTCTTCATTTTCGTGCCGAGTTGAGTTCAACATCTAGTGATCGACTCTTGCCAATACTTTGGTTCTAGTTAGTGAACATTATTTAGCATTGTTTGGAGCTCGTTTATTAGAATCCCATTTCTCGACGTAGTTTCTTATAAGCACCACCTTTTTGAGGGCTGTTACAAGTTTCAGCCACCCCCGAAAATCCATGTGAGCAAGAAAATTCTTATGCTTTCTAAAGAGAGCTTCCCGATTCAGAATAGGGTTATTTGGTTCTTGAAGTTGATGCTCTTTCAACTCGTACGACTTGGAAATACGATACGCTAAACAACTAGTCAACTACTACATAGAAACACTTGTGAAAGACTTTAGATTACTCCTAAAAACCCCGTTGTAGGAGTTAACCAATAACAAAGGTTTACCTAGAGAAAGACCAAATTTTATAGTATGTACTTAAATATACACTTTTGGAATTTGCTTCGTTGACTTAGTCAAGGGTCTTCGTAAAACAAGAACCGAAGAAGAGTCTACAAAGTTGAACTTTGAGCATGCCAATTATGAAAAGAAGATGGTATTTTTCTCTGCACATATCTGAAATTCTTGTTTACTTTCTCCGCTTATATGTTTCTATCTCGGGATGTGTAGAATCCAATGCGTTTTCGTTGACTTGTGTTCATGACTATCTAATACTTGTATCCTTCGTACAACATGTGCGATGTCCTAATACATGATCTTAGACTTTTATGTTGTTCATAGTTATCGAATTTATATTAAGGTGAATTACGCCTACCTTCTATGTACTGTAACAGCAGCTAGATCTCTTCGAGTTTGGGAAATTACACAAACTTTCTTTACTATTGATTTATTGGAAATTTCGTTTCTACCACTTAGGTTGGGTATAGAGTTACATAAAGACTCGCCTTTGTTCGTAATATAATTACAAAATAATACTAGAAACCTCCATATATATATATATATATATATATATATATATATATATATATGTCTCTCTATCTATATATATATATATATATATATATATATATATATATATATATATATATATATATATATATATATATATATATATATATATATATATATATATATATATATATATATATATATATATATATATATATATATATATATATATATATATATATATATATATATATATATATATATATCAAGAAAACTCAAACCAGTTATTTGAATACAACAAATTCTAACAAAGTGGAATTATCATAATTCACAACTACTAATATACATATAATATGAATAAAAGTACCTGAAAAAATTCCATATACCGCGACGAATAATCTCCAGAGAAGCCACAAGTGCAACCATCGTCTGTCTATGCAACGAAAAAATCGTAAATTTCATCACAGTCTGCATCCATGCTAATCTCAGGAACACATTCAGTACCTGTCGATAATAACAATAACTATTAAATCTCTCGAAAACTCTATATATGAATATAATTATATATTTTCTCAATTAAAAAGCTTACAATAGCTCCATAGTAGACATTTTTGTTGGAGATAAGTAATTTATCTCTGAGCCATTTGTTCTTAGAGTTTCTCTGGAAAAAACCCCAGTCGATAACAATATCCCAATACGTGCTCGTAAGTGCAGCAATAATCGATGCTATCCATGCAACTATTTTCCAACCAATTCCGTTGTAATATTTTCAAGTGGTCCCAATCAGTTCTCAATTTACAAACACCTATCTTTAACAAGTATACGGCTAATATTACATCGTACATGTCTTCGAAAATTAGTATGCTTTCGAACAATGGTACTGGATATTGTATGTTTGGCACCCATTTGAACTCCAAGACAAACATAAGAAAATACATAATTTCTTAGAAGCTGCAAAATTGGAATCAACATTTGAACTCGAAGACAAAATACATAAGAGAATACATAATTTCTGAGAAGCTGCAAAATTAGAATCAACGTAACCACAAAGTCACTGGCGGATATATATATTTTCTATCTGCTAAAAGTGTACAAAATTCAAATCTTGGGGAGGCCAAAGTCTATAAATTAATAAAAAAAGAAAAATTCTGCAGGGGCGGTAGCCCCCAGTCTCCACATGGGTCCGCCCCTGGCATAGAGTTCAACACCATTTCAACACTTAGCAAACAATATTCGCATAACGCACGTGATTCATTTCAATTCTGACTCAGTCTTAGGTGACTAATCCTTAGCAAGAACGGGGAAGGAAGCAAGACGAACAATCACAAATTTGGAATCTTTCACATAATACTTTTCAAGAATCTTTTCCGTGGCGTAAGATAATTGATTCATAAAGAATGTACAATCAAGTATTTGTATATGAATTAACAGAAAGAAGTTTCATACATGTGATTGATTATTCACAGGTTACAGTTAGTAAAAACTGAATAAACAATCAATCCAAGATTGTTACTACAATACATATATATAAGCATTTTATTGATCCCTTTTCCCCCTCTTTAATATTTCTACTACTCATCTTTGTCTCCATCTTCGTCATAATTAAACGGCAACGGCACTGATTTAAAAGCACGGTATTTTCCGACATTGTTTAGATGCTCATTCTCCAGCCTGCATCATATCCATAAAAAAAACACACAAATTATAAGTATATATACATAATGTATATGTATATGTATATATATATAATGAATAAAAGTACCTGAAAAAATTCCATACACCACGACGAATAATCTCCAGAGAAGCGACGAGGGCAACCATCGTCTGTCTATGCAACGAAAAAATCGTAATATTCATCACAGTCTGCATCCATGCTAACCTCAATAACACATTCAGTACCTGTAATTAATAATAATAAAATCACTATCAAAACAATTATATCTCTAAGAAAATCTGTATATATATACATATATATAATTTTGTATTTTCTCAATTGAAAAACTTACAATAGCTCCATAGTAGACACTTTTGTTAGAGATGAGTAATTTATCTCTCAGCCATTTGTTCTTAGAGTTTCTTTGGAGAAGACCCCAATCGATAACAATATCCCAATACGTGCTCGTAACTGCCGCGATAATCGATGCTATCCATGCAACTATTTTCCAACCAATTCCGTTGTTGAGAGTGTACGCTGTTCTTGTACTAACTGCCACTATAGTCGAGAAATATTTCAGACCGTTGTACCCTTGCATCGCATCTTTTTCGTCGTACAGCCTCCTTAGGCACTATTTATACGAAAAAAAATCAAGAACGAATAGAGCTATATTAGTACTCGTTTATTTATTTAATTATTTTTTTGGGGAAAATTTCGACTTACCTGAAGAAGGCGCCACGAGTATGGTATAGCAGCAATAATGAAAGAGAAAGTGTTGAAAACGTCGCTCGATTTGCAATTACTTGCCCTCCTTTTGTAGTCTCCCCAACCGTAATAGCATACATAGAATTGTAGACTCCTAAAAGCTTGAACCTGAGTTAGTAGTACATAGTACATACATCAAGAATGTTTATTAATTAATAAATTAATAAATTACGATAATAAATTACGAATAACTGAATTTTGTAAAGCAAGATTATACTAATTTGTACCTGGCTTGTAAGCTGGTCTG